GTCCAGAAGTACCATACTTAAGTGCAATTGGAGCCTTAATGTACTTAGCTAACAATACTAGACCCGACATAGCTTTCTCTGTGAATTTGTTAGCCAGGCACAGCAATGCACCAACATATAGGCATTGGAAGGGAGTTCGACACTTACTCCGGTACCTACGAGGGACACAAGACCTTGGTTTATATTACCAACCAAAACAAGATGCTGCTCTCATTGGGTATGCAGACGCTGGATACTTATCAGATCCTCAAAATGCCAAGTCACAAAATGGATATGTATTCACTTATGGCGGCACTGCAATATCATGGAAATCAACAAAGCAGACATTGACCGCGACATCATCAAATCATGCAGAGTTGATAGCCCTCTATGAAGCAGGACGGGAATGTGTGTGGCTGAGGTCGATGATCAGTAATATCCAGAAGGAGTGTGGAATGAACGCAATAACAGAAGACCCAACCATCATCTTTGAAGACAATACAGCATGTATCGCTCAAGTAACTGAAGGATATATTAAAGGAGATAAAACGAAACATATTGCCCCAAAACTGTTCTTCACACATGATCTGCAAAAGGACGAGGAAATAAATATCCAGCAAATTCAGTCTTGTGAAAATCTTGCCGACCTTTTCACCAAATCACTTCCTTCGAAGAAATTTGAACAGTTAGTTCACAAAATCAGAATGCGACATCTTCGTGAACTATGCTGAGATCAGGGGGAGTATTATATGTACTGCACTCTTTTTCCCTTCGATCAGGTTTTTATCCCACCGGGTTTTTCCTGACAAGGTTTTTAACGAGGCAGTATACCAAAGCATATAATACAATAATATTGGTGTACTCTTTTGGCTATGGGTCTTATCCCATAAAGTTTTACCTAACAAGATCTTTAGTGGCATTCAAGGGGGAGTGTTAGAAGATAAGTCTAATAAGTGAATGCCAATTATTGATTTGATTACACAATGCTCATATAGGTCCAAACACTTGTGAACTCATATGGCTCTATGTGAGTAATTATTGTATTATTAGTGTAACTCATGGCTATAAATACAATGCCATAGAAGTAAGAATACAATGATAACACTACAACAATTTCACCCATCTTCTTTCACTCTTTTACTCCTTTTATTAATCAAAACTTTTCTATCGGTAAATTCTTTAACATGTTTTATATTCTTCTTATTTTTATTTAATCTCTTCTCCTTTTGTTTTCTGTTCCCTTCTTTTCATTTCCAAAAAAAATAAAAAAATAAATAAACACTAAGATTCTATTACCTCCGATAATTGTTATCTGCAACTTTGGGTATTATTTGAGATATATAAAATATTCCAAAGTTGCAGATAACAATTAACGGAGGTAGTATAATTTTCCATTTTGTTTGTCCCTTTATAAATCCATTACCTTTTGTAATCAGAGAATGATGAGAAAGAAAGAAAGAAAAATAAATCGATACTAAATTTTGTAAATGTGAGAGTAAAGTGAAAGAAAATTGGGGCAAATAAAATGAGATCAACAAGTATAGCATTAGTATTCCATATTCTAATTTAACCTATAATTATTACATTAGCCACTTCACCCTATAAGTCCCTAAGCTCGAGCCTATAACTATTACATTAGCCTCATCACCTTATAGGTCCCTAAACTTTCTATTCCAATTTAATTAATGTCAACTCATCAACTAAAGGTCCCTAAACTTTGCTTTTAAAATTATTAAATTTATTACCACATGTGCACTAAGGTCCCTAAATTACACTTAGGATCTGTTCACATTTACTTAATTTCAGTTCAGTTCAGCTCCAATCAGTTTAGTTCAGTTTAGTTCAGTTTAGCTCCAATCAGTTCAGTTTAGTTCAGCTCATAATTTCCTTCTCTCATAAAATATTTGTTTCGGCTCATTTCAGTTCAGTTCAGTTTAGTTCAGCTCATAATTTCCTTCTCTCATAAAATATTTGTTTCGGCTCATTTCAGTTCAGTTCAGTTCAGTTAAGCTCCAATTAGTTCAGTTCAGCTCTAATCAGTTCCGTTCAGTTCAGTAAATGTTAAGGGACTGTTCTCATACGTTTATTTTCAATTTAGTTCAGTTCAGCTCTAATAAGTTCAGTTTAGTTCAGCTCCTAATTTCCTTCTCTTATAAAATATCCAATTCAGTTCAGTTCAGCTCAGCTTAGATCTAATAAGTAGGGCTGAGCAAAACTACCCGAAAACTCGTTTCGTTACCGTTTCAAAAATTAGGGTACCCGATCTGATAACCATAATGGTTTGGGTACCCGTTCCGATAATTTGTTATCGGGTATGGTTATTGGGTATCATTTTAAAATTAACGGTTACCCGTTCTAAACCGATAAGCAATTTTTTGTTTTTTTTATCCTACTTAAATCTATTTTTTCCAAAATCTAAACTCTTACTTTACTTCATAATCACTAATTTGTGCACACCCTAATTTGCGCAGTCGCATTCTCCACCGGTCCACATTTCCAACACAAGATAAATCAAAGGCTTGAATTAAAAGATCATTATTCCTGATGAATGTTGATGAGGTGCAAAGTAGGGGATTGTTTCCCCAAGTACAACATTTTTTTAATTTTTTGGTGCTTTTATAAATACTATTGGATAATCTCACCACAAAAAAAAAAAAAAAAATAAATACTATTGGATAAAATGCTTTCATAAATACTATTGGATAAAATGATTGTTGATGAAGTGATTCGATGAACGTATAAATGCATTTGATGCGTATAAATGCATTTTATAAATAGTATAGTGGTAGAACATTGGATAAAAGCATTTATTTGAACATTGGATTAAAGCATTTATTTCCAAACTGTTCAAAATCATCTCATTAAAATAATAAAGCTTGCAGAATAAGATTACAAATTTTATCCTGGGATTTACTCCTGTCAAAAAAAAAAAAAAAAAAGAAAAAAAAGAAAAAAAAAAGTTAAATTACAAATTCTGACATCAAGTCCCTAAACTTTTTGATGACTCAACATCCCTCAACTTTTTTTGATGAGTCAAGGTCCCTCAACTTTTGCTTAGTCAGCAAAGTCCCTAAACTTTTGGCTGACAAACACTAAAGTAGGGGTTGAGGGACTAAATTGGTGAAAAAAGTTAAAGAGGGACTAAAACGGCTTTTATACGAAATTTCAGGGACTGTATTTATGCTTTACTTCAAACAAAATAATAGTATTAAGAGATATATACTAATTCAAAAAAGGAAATTGTGACAAACAAAAGCAGACAAAAGTATTGTATTTTTCAGCCACAACTCTTATAACTTGTTAGAAAAGCGGCGGTGCATGGAGCACGGAGCCACGATCAAACTCCACGCAGCTGCAATTTGTTAGCGTAATGCACTAATGCTGGCATGCTGCATTGTTGTGGTATTCCTGAATTTAGCAATTCCCATTAGACCGATTTGCGTTCCACCACATGCTACTTAAGGACATAAATTACTCCATTATTTTTTTAAAAAAACTTATCAATGTGAAACAAATTATTATTCGTCTTACAAAATACGGAGTATAATCTTATTTGTCCTATTAAAGTTTTTCAGTGTTTTTTTTAGATATTTTATGACAATATTATCTTCAAAGAGGGGGCAAAACTAATGGCGGAGGAAACAAGAATGTATAAATATTAAATGTATAATACAGGTCAAAATTGTATCTTGTAAATTGTGCAAAGTGAGATTATATATACTTTGGTGTACTAGCGAAAAACTACTAAGCTAGTCCAACTAAAAAAAATCTTCATATACTTGGTCCTAGAAAAAAAGAGAGAACCAAAAGTTAAACACAAAGCCCTAGTGAATGAGGTTTTAGATGATTTGCTTGCTCTTCAAGAGCAAGATCGCCAAAAATTTATGGCTGTGATTAAGGATTCAGATACTGAGTGGACTCCAGTCCTCACGGAACTAGTTGACCAGATCATAACTCACTATGAGAAGTACTACCGAGTCATTACCAAGTTAATAAAAGGTAATGTACAAGTCCTACTCATGGTGTCCCCGGAGTGGCCTTCCCACTTGGAGGACCCTTTTCTTTGGGTTGGCGGGTGGAGGCCTAGTATGGCTTTCCACTTGCTCGACTTCAAGCCCGAGTTAAAACTCGGGTTGGACTCGGTAAGTTACTTAGCGGGGTGAACATGGGAGGGTTTAAAGACATCTCGCCAAGTCAGTTCATTCGAGTCGGTGAGCTCCAGAGGCACACTATTCGGGAGGAGACCGAATTGACTCATTCTCTTGCCGACACTGATGCTCTGGCGGACGAAGACATTGAGGCTGATTTAGTGATGGCGGAGAACAATAGCGAGGCTGATACGGTGATGGCGGACATAATTATCGCTACCGCCCCCGCCGCCGCCGTTACTGATCATCATGAGTTAGGGGAAATCTTCAGCAAGGCAGATGATCTACGGCTTAATACACTCAAACAGTTTGTAAAAATCTTAAGTCCGATCCAAGCCGTCGAATTATTTATTCCTGCCGCTCAACTTCACCTCAAGGTTGAAGCGTGGGGTAAGAACAAAGAGGATGCTCATACATGAAAACTGCACGCCCACGATACCAATAAGAGTAATGACGATAATAAACTATCTGATAATGTTTTCGGAGGGTTTTACAAAATATGGCTCTGCCAGAAGGAGGCGGACCTTCTTGAACTCCGGTCCGCCGCGGTGGCGTACACGGAGACGACTCGATCTAAACACGAGACGAACCAAAACCTCCGCCGATTAGTTCGGCGGGTGTTGAGTCACTATGAGCATTACTACCGAGTCAAGTCCGAGTCAGTAAAGCGGAACGTACTCCACATGATGACTCCTGCATGGAGGTCTCTCCTTGAGCATGCCTTCCTATGGATCGGCGGGTGGAGACCGACTACGGCATTTCACCTATTATACACCATTGTTGGATTGCAACTCGACGCCGGACTCACTAAGTTGCTAGATGGGTTAAGAACCGACGACTTGAGTGACCTCTCATCGAGTCAACGAGTTGCAGATGAAGACGGTTAAGAAGGAGAGGGAGTTGACTGAGGTGATGGCTGCGGTGCAAGAGACGGTGGCCGACACGTCGATGGTTCGGCTTTCGGGTGTGGTAGGGTCGAGTGAGTCAGACGATGAGTGTATTGAGTCGACACTAGTGACGAAAGAGGATAAGTTGAAGGAGATATTTGAGAAGGCGGATGATCTACGGATGAAAACGATTAGTAATGTGGTGGGGATTTTAAACCCAATCCAAGCCGTTCATTTCTTGATTGCTGCTGCTGGACTTCAACTTAGGCTTCATGAATGGGGTAATAAGAAGGATAAAACTGGTGCAATGGTCATTTCAATGAAAAATTAGTTGGTCTTACATAAACATTATTAATATTAGATTAAGATATATAGAATAACATGGCTCAGACTTAATAAATATTTTTGTTAAAAAAAGTCAAGTTTATTCATTTGTTTTCTGTAATGTTTTTTATTAGTAGATGTATATGTATCATCCTTAAACTTAGACTTTTTTTTTTTTTTAAACACTACTTGTACAAATATGTACCCCTTTTTTTTCTATTAATAATCAAAAAGTATATAATAAAACAAACAGATCATATCAGAGAAAATAAAAGATAAAAACCTTTCATTATTAATAATTGATACCCGACAGGCCATCGCCCATGATGAATAAACCTTTCATTAGAGTCTTAGCTACTCTAAGAGAGGGTGCATTAGTGAAGCCATGTGAAATTTCTATCTTATTACATAAATATTTTGTGTGGTTACAATTTTTGCAATACGAGTATTATTATACTATAAAAAAAGGTATTTTGTATAACACATCGTCCACATATCTTAATTGAAGAGTTACATGTACACTTACACAAGGATATTTATGTGTATCTTGGTTCACATACTTACATATTGTAGCGAATGTACAATCGCTACGAAAAGAGATTTTTCTTGTAGCGAAAGATATACACGAACGTATGATACACATAGAATATATTTAATAAATATATTGTAACAATACTAGATTAGATCCCGTGCCATATTGATGAGTTAAATTATTAAAAATTAGGTATTACACGAAATTACAGCCAGTTATATTTAAAGAGGAATATTTAGTCGGCTTTTGAAAGCTAACGTAAAACAAAGCAAGCTAGCTATACACAAAGTCGCGAAGTATATTGATCAAGAATAATAAATATCGATGATAATAATAATAATAATAATAATAATAATAATAATAATAATAAATATCTTGTTATTTATAAACTTTATTTGTTTTTTTAATAATAATAATAATAACAATAAATTACAAAAACAACGGGCTGCGCACCTAGTCATATAACTAATATATAAAGCTAAACTTTTAGCAGGTCACGAGGCATCGACACTTGGTGTTTCAACTTTTCGCCAAGTGTCGCGCCACGTTGGATGAATTTAAATAGACGATTAAAAAGTTAATTTAAAATTCTATTTGGATATAATTTTAGGATAAAATTGTTAGTTTAGAGTTTTATTTTCAATAAAATACCAATATTTTAGAGGTACACATTAAATTATAATTTTGTTAAATTTTTTTTGATAAAATATAGCAAATCGTTATAAAAGCACATCAATTCCTAACTAATTTGTATCAATGATATATTTAAAATTTTGACATATATATTGAAAATTTATCTTCAATAAACAACCCGGGCATCGGACGGGGCACAAAACTATTTGACATTCTAACTTTTCGCCAAGTGTCGCGCCACGTTGGATAGATTTAAAAATACTTTATAAGATAAAAAAGTTAGTTTATAATTCTATTATGAATCAAATTTGGATAGAATTTTAGAATAAAATTGTTAATTTAGAGTTTTATTTTCATAAAATAAAATTTGAGTATCGCGCCACGTTGTATAGATTTAAATCAACTTCATAAACAATCCGGGCATCGCACGGGGCACAAAACTAGTTTATATATAAAGTGAAGTATTTTAGTCCTATTTTGAAAGCTAGTGTAAAGCAAAGCGCTACACGTAGTCGCAAAGTAATATATAGTGTATATCAATATATGATGCTCATTTCCAAGGACTAAGAATCTAAGATATACATTATCATGTTGCTCCTTAAAATACCACCGCCTCACTCAAATTCTATCTTAAATTTTGTCCCACTAAGAGAAGCAACCATTAGCGGATCTATGGTGGGTTTAAATGGATTCATTGAACCCACCGTATATTATATAGCACGATACGTGAGTAATGGAGTATGGCAGTGCAACTAACTCGTTTTTTAACCTTTGCATCATACTAATAATTATACAATAAATTTTGCTTAATGTAGATTGTGAGTTTTACCATGAAAAATTACGCATTTTATTATACTACCTCCGTTACAAGTTATGTGCAACGATTTGACAAAAAGCAGAGAGGGAAAATGTCTAATCGTTGCACATAATCTATAACGAAGGTAGTAATACCTTTGTTTTTTTTAGTTAAATTGATACTTTTTAATTTGAATTTAACTCTATTTGAGTGGTAGCACACTTTATTTTGTTATGTGCTTAATAATTTATGAAATTTTGAATTTTAACACCATTAAAAAACACGAAAATGGTTTTTAACACTACAATAAATAAATTCATAACAATAAATAAATAAAATTTTATTTTAACACCGCAAAAATTTTATAAAATGATCCTTTACTACCACTTAACTGATTTATGGATGAAATTCGTTAGTGGTACTTACAATACTACGTGTCAGCATATTATTGGTTTAAAAAAAATAAAAAATAATAAAATAACAAATACCCTTAAACTACCTTAGCCTCCCCACCCCCACCTCCATTCTCTCACCTTAACAGCCCCGTTTCCAGCCCTAGCCACCAGAAAATCTCCTCCTTCCCTTTTCTCGTCCCTAAACCGGCAGCAGCTCCCCAACAAACACCAAAAACAGCCGTCGTTTTTCATAAGCCTTAAAACGACCACCAAAACGGCCACTAGTGGTCGAAATTGGTCGAGTTTGACTATAAGTAACCGATGTGCATGTGGTCGTTCGTTTTTTTGGATGTTTGTGTGTCCGAGGAGGATTAACGATAGGTTTCGGGGAGGGGGAAAGGGAGGGCAGCGCTTTTCCGGTGGCTGGAGATGGAAACAGGATGGTTAGGGACTTAGGGTGAGGATGTGGTGGTGGTACGCTGTCGGCGATGGACTAGGGACCCTAGGTTAGTTTTCGAGGTTTTGGTTTTTTTTTTTTAAAAAAAAAAACTAATAATATAGCGACACATGGCATAATGGATCCCACTTAACGAAAAGTGGGACAGCAGCCGTTAAATGGGTGTAAAATCATTTTTTTTTTAACTTTTGATGGTGTTAAAATAAAAGTTTATGTCTGTAGTGTTAAAAATTATTATTGTGTTTTTTTGTGGTGTTAAAATTCAAATTTTTTCTATGATTTATAAGTGATGAAAAATATAGTCACGGAAATCTTGTTAGATATATATTTTAACTATCAACTTTTTATATTATTATTTTCATCGATTGTTGGTGACTATAGATATTAATGATTGAATTTATACATTTGCAAAAGTGAGTAAAATAACGTGTCAACTTAAAATAAATGGTTCCAACTTGTCGCCTAAATTTTTACTTTCACCACTTACAACACCAGTTGCATCGATCACCTTGCATGTCATTTATGTGTACTACCAAAATGTGATGGAGTAAATATTAAGTTTAGTGAAACGTGATTAGAGGAAAACAAATTTCGCTCAACAAAACCCCATACTTGTACGGTGCATGCATGTGTGTACGTAATTATTTCATCATCAAGTAGATTGTAGATTAATAAGTGGTTCGTTTAGAAAGTGGGTAGACTTTATACGGCTATATATATTGGATGAATTGGTTGTAACATTAAACATAAAATAAGCCTAATAAACACACCAAAACAAACAAACAAACAAAATATTACCACTTATCAGCCAAACAACTAAATATTAACCCAATCATGGCTAGCGAGGTATTTGATGATTTGCTAGTGCTTCAAGAGCTAGACCGTAAAGCATTCATGTCCAAGACCAAGGAGTCTGATATTGATTGGACTCCAACCCTTACCAAACTCGTTAACCGAGTCATAACTCACTATGAGAATCATTACCGAGTCGAGTCCGATTTAGTCAAGGATAGTGTACATGTTCTCCTCTTGTTATCCCATGTTTGGCCTTCCTACCTTGAGGACGCCTTCCTTTGGGTTGGCGGGTGGAGGCCTAGTATGGCCTTCCACTTGCTAGACTTCAACCCCGAGCTGCAGCTCGGGGTTGAAGTCAGCGAGTTGCTCAAGGGGGTGGGTATGAGGCAGTTTAAAGACATCTTGCCTAGTCAACTCGTCCTAGTTGACGAGTTGCAAAGGCTAACCATCAAAGCGGAGACTGAGTTGACTCAGTTTCTTGTAGAGCCGGTCTCTCTAAACGAAAACTCGGTGATGACCGAGGTGTATGATTATCCGCATGGAAATTTAAGGGAGATATTTGGCAAGGCGGATGATCTCCGGCTTACAACGTTGAAAAAGTTGGTGGAAATCTTAAGTCCAATCCAAGCCGTCCAACTTTTTATTCCTGCTGCTCAGCTCCATCTCAAGGTTCATACATGGGGTAAAAAAAAAGAAGGGGCTCACAAACATGCACATGATAATCCCGACGAGGGTGGCGCCGGTCGTGGGCGGGAGTCATTTGGCAGGGTTTTTGAGACATGGCTCCTCGAGCAACAACAAGACCTCGAGGAGCTCATGTCAGCCGCCAAGGCCTACACTGAGTCAACTCAGTCCTCAAACGAGTTGACTCAGAATCTACGAGGACTCGTAGCCAAAGTCATGTGTCACTATGAAAGCTACTACCGAGTCAAGTCGGAGTCAGCGAAGCAGAACGTATTCTGCATGCTGACTCCTGCATGGAGGTCTCTCCTAGAGCATGCCTTCCTTTGGGTGACCGGGTGTAGACCTAGTAAGACGTTCCACCTACTCTACACCATTGGAGGGTTACATGTCGAGTATAAACTCCGTGAGTTACTCAACGGGTCATTGAAAATCGCCGATTTTGGAGGACTATCACCGAGTCAACTCACCCGAGTCAATGAGCTGCAAATGAATACTATTAAGGAAGAGAGAGAGTTAACTGAAAAGCTAGCTTCTTTTCAAGAAACCGTGGCTGACTCCTCAATGGTTGAGCTCTCACGCAAGTCGAAAACCCGAGAGCGAGTTGTGAGTGAGTCAATTAAGAAGCGAGTTAAGTTGACACTAGAGCCTAAAGACGATATGTTAGCCGAGATATTTGGGAAGGCTAATGATCTACGGATGAAAACGCTTACAAAAGTGGTGGAAATATTAAGTCCAATCCAAGCCGTTGACTTTTTGATTGCTGCTGCTGAGCTTCACTTGAGAGTTCATGAATGGGGGAAGGACAAAGATGCTGACCAACAACAACATTAACCATGCATAATAATCTAATAATTATATTCAACTTAACTAATTTATGTCATTCTTTCTCATTATATTATAAGATTACAAATTTTCTACCTGTAAAAAAAATATGTATTTTCTTCGGTACTTATATTAGTATGAAATTAGTATATGACTATATATATGTATTTGAGTAATTGATTATCCTAGTCATAACACAGAAAAAAAAAAAAAAAAAAAGTAAAGTATATCGGAGTAGTTAATTAGTAATGTATGGATTATAATCTTCTAGGATTTGTACTTTTGTCGAATCTTCATTTACTTGACTATTATGAGTAAGTTTTAATTTTTTTTAAATTCATCGAAAAGGTTAAATAGTAAATAAAACTTAACTTGTGATTCTATTTTTATATTTATGCGTGTTTTGGAAGCTGTTGAATACATGTAACATTATTAGTATTGCTATTCAATTATCTAGAATAAAATTCTAGAACATTATGACTACAAGAATAATAAAATTCTAGAACATTATGGCTACAAGAATAATCAAGGGAATTCTAGAATATTCTAGTCATGCTCTATCTAACTATCTTCACCTATAAATATAAGTCATGACTTGCTTGTAACACAAATTTAATGGATTACCACTATGATAAAGCTAATTTGATGTTATTTATTGTATTAAAATTGTATATAACTTATAAATTTACACCTTTAATTTAATAAATTAAAAACAATAAAAAAAAATGACGGGGTCGTTGCCACCAGACCCCTTAATAACTCCGCCACTATCTCACACCCCTGATACGATCACATGATCAAATTCAATATGGCATAAAGTAAAATTTTCAATTGTGGACCTGACTCTATGCTTAGCTAGGTTAAGGCTTAGAGCTTGCCTTGGATATCATTAATCCGTCAATAAATGTTTATTAATATATAATCAATCATCTCTTAAAATTAAGGAAACAATCTTCTAAATATATGTCTTGATTAGCCTAACAAATACAAGAAGGTGGTTGACTGGTTGACTCATTAATTCATTAAAATAACACCTTTTCATCACAAATGATAAATTACCTAATAACATGTTTTGGATCATCCAAAATTATTATTATTTTGGTAATTAAATCACAAAGAATTTACCTTATTATCAACTCTTTATAAATAGTAAATTATGTGACTAGTTATATAAGGATCAAACTAAACTTTACCGTTGCATATTGGGAGTGTTTGACAATATACATAATATTTGTTCTAAATTATTGGTGACCAACAATTTAATAGTTTATTTTGCTGGTTAGTATTTATTAGACACTTGTGTTATTTAATAGAGAAACGTGTAATTCAATCAAGGATATTGGATAGTAAACGCAATAAAATTAGTATAAATTAATATTGTGTAGCAGTTTTATTTGTACCTCAATATATTAATAAATGTTACAAATAATATAAAATAATATTTTTTTTAGCAATCTTATAATTGTTGACGTCATAAGTTTTTAAAAATTCAATAAGGTATTTCTCAAAAAAAAAAAAATTAAAAAAAAATCAATAAGGTAAAGATCGTTTGGTGTGGTTTTTAGTTTTTTTGGTTGTGTGATTTCAAAATCATAGGATAGATGTCATTAGAATTTGTTATATACATTCGGGTGCACCCTATGTTGAAATTAGCTAGTAATACAACTGGAAAGGTTTTATCTCAGGCATAATCGAGTGTACCTTACTCTATACGGTTGAGTGATTTTGCAGACGAATATGTCTACACGGTAGTGTACTCTCTTCTACATAACCCTGTGACAAACATTTGTCCTATGCGTTCCTTACAAAAAATCTGATGTCTTCCATGACTACCAAGACCTTCTAAAGTTCTAAGTTCTAATCCCATTTGGATAAATCATAAATGCTTCCTTAGTTTCTTAGTCCTTACGATTTTACACCAAATCATTATTTCCTTTTTTAAAAAAAGTCTCCTCCAAACAATGACGGCGCAGATTAACTTTCCTTTTTTTTTTTGGTAGCCGACTTTGAGTTGAATGTAAGTGCATACATACAGTGATACAATATGCCACTAAACACTGTCGTAGTACACTATAAGTAGTTGTCTAACAACAATTGACTCATGTAGTTTTGGTTCATACTTTATGCTACATACCCTGTGGTGCAACTAACATCGTTCATTCGTAACCCTTTTATTGATCCGTATCATCAACTAAGCTAGCTTATTAGCACATATAAGCTAGGCATCGAAATTTCTTTTGATCATTGGTCACACTACTTTGAAAGCAACAATTATGCAATCATCCAACTCAAACTCACCCTTATCCTCACTCGAGCCAGGGCCTAAGTCTAACTTGCCAAAACGTAAGTTTGAGTATCAGTCCGAGTCTAAACCTGCACCTTTCAACAAGTTCTTTTTGGACTGGCTCCAGGTCCAGGAGCGGGACCTGGAGGAGCTCAAGTCCATGGTCAAAACCCACTCCGAGTCGACTCGGCAACTCCAAGAACTCGTCGACCGAGTCATGACCCACTACGATGAGTTCTACCGGGCTCGGTCCGAGTCGATCAAGGAGAACGTCCTCCTTGTCTTAAACCCCGATTGGCTATCCAAACTCGAGGACGCCTTCCTTTGGCTTGGAGGGTGGCGGCCCACCACGGCCGTACACTTGCTCTACTCCAAGGCCGGGCTTCAGTTCGAGGCCCGACTCAGTGAGTTACTGAGTGGGGTCAACTCGGACGATCTCAGCAACCTCTCACCGAGTCAACTCGTCCGAGTTGACGAGTTACAAAGACAGACCATTCACCAAGAGAGGAAGTTGACCGAGATTCTAGCTTCACACCAAGAAACAATGGCTGACTCATCCATGGTTGAGCTCTCTGAGAACTACACCGAGTTAAAGCGGGATGCTGAGTCAGCAGCTCGGAAGTCTGACCGAGTTGACTCAGTAAAAGATCGAGTTGACTCGGCTCTAGCACCAAAGGAGCACGGATTAGAAGATATTTTGAGGAAGGCGGATGATCTACGGCTGAAAACGCTTAAAAGTGTGGTTGACATTTTGACTCCAATCCAAGCCGTTCATTTCTTGATTGCTGATACTCAACTTCATCTAAGGGTCCATGAGTGGGGTAAGTTAAAAGATGAAGATGCAAAGAGTTCGAAAGAGGCCCGTGGTTTTGTTGGGCCTGGTGGGCCTCAGCCCAGCCCATAATTTACTTTAATTCCAACTAAACTATAGATGTATAATAAGAGTATGAATAAGCTTAGTGTGATTTTTTTATAGCAATGTAATTGCCTGAATTTGCTGTCATAGTTAGTTATAAGTCTAATAACTAGCTTGTATAATCATAATTGAATATTGATATAAATAGAATAGAATAACAAGTTGATGCTTGTTCGAGTTTTTACATAAATGTAGATATGATGGGTGATTTTGGATTTATGTATGGGAATTAATTATAGTCGGTGGTTTGTCTTGTAATCACTTCGAATAAAATACTATGGAGTAGTATTGAAATTGCAAAATACTACTCTCCTTCTGCTTCATTTTATTCTTTATACTTTAAATTTCTCGCAGTTTTTATTACATAGTTATTTTATTCTACAGGTTATGCCTACCAATATACAAAGTATAACTGATTGAAAAATACATTGAAATGTGAAAAATAAGAAATGTTGTGATTATAGTAAAACAGATAAAGTTATAAGATAGGTGACTGTAAATTTATAAGTATTAGTACATACCATGAGTCCGGCCCTTTAACTGCACCTACTAATTTGGGATGAAATCAATGTCGTGGTTATGGCCATGTGAGTATTTTGACAAATTATTGTTTTTTGAAGTCTTTGAAGATTGAATTACCACAAATGAGTTCCCTGTTGCTAGAGTGGTTTTTTTCATCTAATTCTAAAATCACCTTAGCTTCCTTATTTCTAACCTATTAAAATATCTGAAATTTCTTTTCTCCAAAATATATAAAAACCATGTGATGTATTACAAATTCAATTGTCTAGGCCGTATTAGAGTGTTCTCAATCTATCTCATTGTCGGACATACACAAGTGGGTAAAGTCACATAAGTGGCATAGCCTTTAGGCAAGTGCTACAATTCATGGATAAAATTATTATAGTTACCTAGATAATAACTCTACCTCCTAAAAGCAATATCATATATAACTATGGTATATTCCATGTAGCATAACTAACTGCCCCATCTACCTATTAACCCAAAAAATCCTATAACCCCCTTATTTACGGGGTTGTATAAGAAACAGAAACCTGATAATATTCCATCAAAGCTTTAGCTGTTCTTTTTTAAAATGCAAACCCTTATGCAAGGTTTTAGTCATTCAATTCTACCCATCTGGGCTAGTGGGTTATGCTTACACCTTACGCTTTGTGTACGTGCGCAATCTACTTGCAAATAATGCTACCAACTTGCCAAATCCAACCAAAAACTGTCATAGATTACAATTTTTAACAAAAAAAGTGGGGTTGTAGTTTGTACTTCCAGTTCATAACCAACCAATTTATACCTTTTTGTTCACATGCCTTTACTTGTCATCTCATCTCACCATGCATTTCTTACGTAAATCTAATTATACAACTAGCTTAATTGGAATTTGTGAAATAGAGGAAAACCTGCTATTCATCTCCCTTTGTATTCCTACACTTTACTCCACTACTTCTTTGTACATATTCTAGCATATATAAACCATAGTATGTACATGAATTTGATCACCATTACACTGTTTTGTTTTCTCTCTTACAAATATTATTTGATGATGTCCAATTGTTTATAACTTAACAAACCACCAAATTATATTCAATTGGTCTCTCTATGTACTACATGAATACAGGCAAGCACCACCTAGAAAAATCCATGTTCTCCTCATCCACCCAGGGCTCGGGATCGTGTAGCATGGATCCCGAGCCCGGGCCTGAATCTTTTGGCGGGTTTTTCGAGCGATGGCTCGGTGACCAGGCACGCGACCTTGATGACCTCAAGGTCGCGTCCCAGGCTCACGCCGAGTCAACTCAACCATGTCCTGAGTTGACTCGGTCTCTACGAGAGCTCGTGGGCCGGGTCATGTGCCACTACGAGAACTACTACCGAGTCAAGTACGAGTCGGTGAAGCACGACGTCCTCGGGATGATGACCCCCTCGTGGCGGTCCCACCTCGAGGAGTCCTTCCTTTGGATTGGTGGTTGGAGACCGAGCTCCGCATTCCACTTGTTATACTCGGTAGCCGGGTTGCACTTCGAGGCGGGGTTCGGTGAGCTACTTCGGGGGTTACGCACGACCAACCTAGGTGACCTTACACCAAGTCAACTCAACCGAGTCAACGAGTTGCAAGCTCAAACTATAAGAGAAGAAAGAGAGTTATCAGATTATCAGAAACTCTTGCAGCTCACCAAGACACCGTAGCCGATACCTCCATGGTTGAGCTATCACACATAGCAACCGAGTTGATGCGCGACTCGGGAAGTATAGGGCGAGTTGGGAATGAGTTAGTGAAAGAACGAGTTGAGTCAACACTTGACTCTAAGGAAGACAAGTTTAAGGAGATTTTAGGGAAGGCTGATGATCTACGGTTGAAAACTCTTAGAAATATGGTGGACATCTTAAGTCCAATCCAAGCCGTTCATTTCTTGATTGCTGCTGCTGAACTTCATTTAAGGGTTCATGATTGGGGTATGAAGAAAGATGCTATTGCTCATCCACAACAACATTAGTTAATTAAGCACAAATAAGTTTGTGTGTTACAAGAGATTATTTAGGAGATTTTTACTTCTTTTATTTGTACTCATATGAGATTCATTTGGTTTTTTTATTTATTATCTCCGAAATTATATTTGATCATTAATTTCTTTAATCATGTTGCAGAGAATTATGGGGTAAAAGGTTATTGTACTTTTATTTTCAACCATTAAGTGGATCAATTAACCCCTTACCTTGCACAAAAGTGAATAATTTGCATCGAATTTTTTTCAAAGTCGTCGTTTGAGATCACAATTAGTAGATGTAACAAATTCATGGAAAAATAGGTGAGCTTTCATCACCTCTTTATTAATAAGAAAAGAGTAAAAGATCAAGACAAACGGGATGAAATTATCATTAAAAGAAACAATTGAGCTATGAGTTTCACAATTCATCCTTGGTTGCAACTGTTTCATCGACATTGTTGCTTGTTTTCTCTGATTCGCTCTTGATCTCGGGCTCACTCTTCTTCTCATCAGTCTTGTGCTTCTCAATGAATTCAATAATGTCTTCCTTTTTCCTACCGCCATTGTACTCGATTATCTCCTTATTTTTAGTAATGAAGAACATGGTTGGGAAGCCTTCAACCTTGAAAGTGTCACTTGGGACATCATTTGCACTTGCATCCTAATAATATATCAGAAGAAAACCGGACAAAAATGTTTCAGTTTTTTGTTATTGCTTCACTAGCCAAAATGAAATTTCAAGTGAAACAAAAACAGATGAATCAAAGAGCTTACAAATTTCGCAATCAGGATGTTAGGATCCTTTTCATATGAGATAGCAACTTCATCCAAAGTCGGAGCAAGGTTCTTACAGTGACCACACCAAGGTGCATAGAACTCAAGGAAAACTGCAAAGACAGATAAAAAACAGTAGACAAACTCATCAAATTTGCCGCGATCAAAGAATGTTTATTAAAACACTTGGCAGAAAGTATCAAAAAGAATTTCTAATCAATAGCGCGAAATATACCTTCTTTGCCAGAGTTAAAGACCATATCCTGCAAGCTGTGAAGAACTACAACTTTAACAGGCTCATTGTTCTCTTCAGGAATAGGTTGTGATCTCAAATATGGCTCCAACTTTCCATCCTGCAACCATTTTATTTGTTCATTTAGAATGAAGCAGCTATTGTAAACACTAATACAGTTTAAGATCACAGAATTAAAAATTACCAAGAATTTCTTGAACCAAGGAGCAAGTTGATCTGGTTCCACATTTGTCTTAAGATATTTCTCAGCTTCGGTCTTGTGAATAAAGATGAGAGGAGCTAGAGACTCGTCGAGCTTGAAGTGCTATTTTTCCCAAAAATACAAAGAAATTAAAACTTGGTTAGATAAACATGTTATGAAATTAAAGTATGTATTTGTTCATGTCAGAGATGTCACAAAAGAGTCCTGTATCAGCCTAAGATATAATCATTCAGATGGATATAAAAGCCTAGGGTAAAAATTGTTGTAACTTAAGGGACATGAACCTTGAGTAGATCTTTGCTTGCTTCAAGATCACCAAGTAGAAAGTATTTGTTGTCCCCTTTAAGTAGGACAGCGACATCATTAAACCGGGATTTCAATGCTGCAGCATTCTCACTCTTCAAGTCCAAAATCATAATGATCTGCAATAGTAAACCAATGAATTAGTGTTAATGACTTGCATAAGAAAATCAAGCTATGATATAAAGATCCTAAAACATTATAAACAATTTTAGTGATTCAAGTACTCATAAAACTAAACTGTAAAAGGTGTAATATTGTAATGAAGAGTATCAAAGCAAGGGTACATCAGTTGATATTCATGCGCGAATAATAGGAATTTTAAGAGATCTTGTTACCTTGGTGTTTTGACCTGAGAAGACCTTACGAAGGTAGGTGTTTCCGGGATCCATTGTGAATGGAATAACCGAAGGCACATCTTCTTCTTGGATGAACTTCTCTAAGGCATCCAAATCAAAATTCTATAAAAAGAAAAGCAATCAAATCAGTAATTTGCTGATATACAAAAAAAAAAAAAAACTGTCAGAAACTCTGTATGTAATTCAGAAACAGCAAATTCTTCAAAGATGGTCGCAAAAAATAACAATTGCCAAGTTTCATGCCACACTTACCTTGGTGTCTGCAAAGAGTTCGTCGAATGGCTTAAGCAATCTAACTACCGGCCCTTTGACAGACGAATCACCCCTAGGAAGGACCTTAGCATCCAATGTATGACCAAACTCATAATCAGACCGCAATTTGTCAGCTAACTTGATGAAGTTTTCATATTCCTCCCCTTCAAACTTTGGGAACACTCCTGCCTACATGATCAAATAAATGAACATTGTTTTAGGCCTTTTCGCACCCATATCACATCATTCAATTACATGTCCGAAAAAAAATAAGTTTCTTAAATCAATATGCTTAGAATGTACTAACAATGAAAACTTTCTTCTCCTCAATGAGGCTGATGATC